TATATATATATATATACATATATATATATATAAACAATGCTTCTATAGTTTAATGATGTCTTGAAATCAGGTAGATAAAATCCTCCAGTCTTGTCCTTCTTATAAAAAATTGCCTTGGTTATTCTAGGTATTTTGCATTTCCATATGAGTTTCAGAATCAGCTTGTCAATTTCTATAAAACAACTTGCTGAGATTTTCACTGAGAGTAAATGGACTTGGTGAACCCTGACATCTTAACAAAATTGAGCCTTGAAATTCATCAACACGGTCTTTTCCTTAATTTAGATCTTTCCAAAAGAGGAATCAGCATCTCCAAGCACATAAAATATGCCAGGAACAGTAGTGAGTGCTTTACATGTATTATATTAGTTGAAATTCATCATACCCTGTATTAGAGAGATTAGACATAAAAGGAAGTGGAGTGGTGGAAACAGTAAATAATTTCCTACAGGAGGTAGGAGGGAATTCAGGCCTCCATTGGTCTGAATCCAATGTCTGGCTTTTTTCCATTTACCAGTCTATATAACTCAGCTCTGAGTAGGGTGAAGGGAGGACCTTCGTTTATGCCTATGAACCTCTCCCAAAATTTAGACTGCTTCTGAACAACCAAGCATTTCAACATCACCCTGACTTCAACATTTCAGGAAGGTAGTGTGAAATTGCATGGAAGCATAGGGGCATTAGTGGTTGAATTATATTTTCCAAGTTGCATTTGCGAACAGAGTGTGCCAGCTAGATCCTTTGAGTTTCTCCCTGGCCCATAACACTTGAAATTCAGGTTAATGAACAGCATAGACATTTTGAAACTCGTTACAAGAAAAGATAACTCCATTTATAAAGTATCCGTGCAAATTTATTTAGGAGTTGGAAAAGGGTTTGTAATCGGTCTGACAACTCTTGATACAATTCGTGGAATGTATTGTAAGGGAAATTCAGTGACATTTATAAACTTATCTGTGGCAAATAAACAAACAATAGATTAAAACAAACCCAAAGTGATTTTCATTAAAATTAACCAAAGTCCCTGATCTATTCCTGATAAGGTATAGGCTAATGTTTGTTTCTTTGTTGTTGAGATTGGGGTTTGAACTCACGCAGGCTCCCTGCCGCTTGAGTTACACCTACAGTCCGTTTTTGCTCTGGTTATATTTTTTTGGAGATGGGGAGGTGGGTCTCTGAACTATTAGTCCGGCTCACCTTGAACCACGATCTTCCAAATTCTGTTTCCCAAGTCGCTAGGATTACAGACATAAGCTACTGGCGCCCGGCTTAAGGTTTAATTAAAAAAAAAGAATTTATGAAGAAAAAGGTTAGAGTTCAAAGTCTAGGTTAGGTTCACCTTGCTGCTAAGGGCTTCGCAGGGCTCTTTTTGTCCCAGCGCCCAGGTTAAAGTGGACAGTCAGCTCATTTCATTGCACTTGTCTGAAACAAGGACGGAGTAGGGGACGGAGCCCAGACGAGATGCCTTACACTTCCTGATGTCATCTTTATGCAAAAATCGGACCGAAGGTCTCACCAGGTGCCAGGGGCGCCCATCCAAAATCGCGGGTAAGGCCCACGACCACCTGAAGGGATGGCCCTGGAGGGTGGCTCGGTCCCTTTGAAGTCCAGCGCTCGGTCACCAGCACCCCGGCAGGCAGCAGCGCTCTCCCCAGCGTATGGAGAGGGTTGTTTACCAGGTGAGCGTGGGGAGAGCAGGTGATGGCGTCAGAGCTTGGGGCCTTCTCCGCGCACCTGTGCAGCCCGGAAGGCGGCCCCCAAGGGGCATGGAAGGGATGTGGAGTGGCAGAAGACCGGGGCGGGAGGAGGCAGGATGCGGGGCTCACGTCGGACTCTGGGCGGAGCGGAGTGGAGTCTTGGAGGCCGCTAGAGCCGCGCGACATGCCGCGTCCCTCCGCAGCTGAGCCGACCTGATGCGGGTCCCCTGTTGTCCCCGCCGGGTGACCACTCCATCCCCGAGGGCGGCAGGTGAGCCGCGCCAGGCGCCGCCGGGAGGCATCAGGTGTCGTGGGCACCGCGCCCCTCGGCGCGCAGGGAGGGACTGCGATGTCGCCTGCCGTCGGTGACACGAAGAGGGAGGGAGGGTTGGGGCCCAGGACGTCGGCGCCATGGAGGGCACACTGGGAGGAGCAGGGTGCGAGATGGGTCTGTTCCGCACTTCCCCTGTTCCGCCTTCCGCCCAAGGTCAGTAGCGGCGCGCGCGGGCGCGGGTCCCATCCACGCGGGGCGGGTCCCCACCAGGGTTGGCCGCGGCGGACTGGGGGCTCGGCCCGCCCAGCTGCCCGCACCTCGAGGCGCAGAGCTCGAGGCCAGGACTCCGGGGTCAGAAAGTCATCCGCAGCCGGGAGTCCAGGCCCTGAGAGGCCCGGGGCGCGGGCGGCGGTCTGGATGTCCGCAGGGGGAGCGGACAAGGATTTGAAGTTGCCCGGCCGGCTGCTCTGAACTCGATTGTCCCCTGATCAGAGGTGAAAATGAAGGCCACAGCCAGGGTGTGCAAAGCAGCCTCCACCAGGGCGGCCGAGATCAAAAACACTCACTCCGGAAACTTGAGGTGGATTGCTTTGGACCTTCTGCAGCGGTGCGCACGGTACCCGCCCCACAAATGTAGTCCCCAGAAGAGAGGGACAGAAGTCTTGTGTCTGATGAGGTGGGGGGGGATGTCTGAAGAAACCAGTTGCGTTTGTTTGTCGCCAACTGTGATGGCTTTTTTTTTTTTTTTTACTATTCACAAAAATGGCCTTTCTATCTCTAGTTTTCTGTAGTTCTGTCCAATTAAGCCTCTGACCGCGGTGGAAAACTAACCTCCGTGTCATCTAAGGGTCAGCTTAATGCCTCCATGGCTCTCCCGATGGCCCGCGCACACCCTCCTTCAGAAGGATGTGGAGAGTGCTCCTCCAGCTGCTGGGGGTCCCCACAGTTGGCAGCTGGCAAAGTGCACCCTGAGAAGGACTTTTGAGCCAGGTTACGCTAATGTTTGCAACGAGTGCAGTCGCCCGTCCCTCTGAATGAAGCGCGCGCTTCCACCAGGGCTTGGTGCGACGTGCTGAATAAATAAACGGCGGCTGGCTCATTTTCTCTTGCTTGCTGTGGGTTACGGTTACACAGTGTGTGGGTGTGCGACTAGTTTGCTTCAAGTTTAATTTCCCCATATCAAACTGCAAAGGGCTTAATGTGACCTCACTACTATGTTGGTATCCATATGTAATTATTAGCAACTTAAATCGTTTGAAGTCTCACAGATAGTCTACTTAAACGCTGGCTAAAATAGTCTACCTTTTAAAAGAAGGGAACAAGTCCTTAAGTGAAAATCCGAAGGGATTAATGTGTGTATGCACACACACACACACACATATGTACATATATATATATATATATATATCTTAACAGCAAAACAAAGAATCACACTTTAAGGCATTATTTCGTTTTGGAGGTGCAGCACATGCTATATAGCAAATGTGTTTTACGCTTCATTTGCTTCATTCATTCAGCGGTATATCCTTATTAATCTTTTCATTAATCAGGAGTTTAAAACTTTCCCCATGACTAAATTTTATAGCCAATGTCTACTTTTCCGGAATGTTCGGCTTGCTAAACATGTTTCTTTCCAGACTTGGAAAGCAGTGTTGTACTTAAGCAGTGACTTGTCACATATTGTATAACTGTAGGTTGGTACAAACGTAGGTTAAATTCTTTTCCCTTTTGCACCGACTTCAAGTTATTATAAAAATGTTAAAGTTGGGGAGGTTTTCCACGCTGTACAGAAGGACTCTATTCTCTTGGTGGTTTGGGGTGTTTCATTTTGAACAGATTTCCATAATATCAATATTTGTCTGAGGGAAAATCCAAGGTAGGTCCTAGTTTGGGGAGTGATTTTTCTGTCACTTTGGAAAAACTGCCCCACCCTTTTCAAAGAGACAAAAGAAATGATAGGTACAAAGTACTTTGAAAAGTAAAATGTGCCTTCAGTAAAGAGCAACAGGAGTGATAGGGCTGCATGGGAACTGGTTGAGGGCCTGCCTTCCCCATTGTAAAACAGTTGGGTTCCCTGTGGCTCACACTGTCGCTAAGAACCTTGCTGGTTGTTCGAAAGTTGCTCTCTCTCCTGAGGGTGGAGGATAACGGAGGGTGCTTGCTTTGTGCTGGACTCAGTACAAGAGGTTTATTTGCTTTTTTATTTAATGCTTGCTACAATCATATGAAGGTAGATACTATTCCTATTTTGCAGAACAGGAAACTGAAGCTCAGTGTGACTGAGTTGCCTCAGTTCATAGGAGGATCAAACTGTAGAACCAGGATTAGAAAACAAACTGGATCTTGGTTCTGTACAAAACCTATTTATTTATTCAATTTATAATCTGATGGAAGTTTTCATTTTTCCCCCAGGGAAAAAATGACCATATTCACTTGTCCGTAAGATTTTGCATATAATTTCACGGTCCACGTATACTTTGAAGTTCTTAGCCAGGCTCTCAGGAGGGGGAGATTGAATTTAGGGCCTGTGCTTGCTAGGCAAGCACTCTACATTTGAGCCGCCCCCCTGTCCTTTTGCTTTTCGATTATTTTTTAGATAAGTTCTCAGGCTTTTGCCCAGCTGGCCACAGACTGTGTTCCTTCTTCTTACCTCTGCTTCCTGAGTAGCTAGGATTATAGGAATGTACCAGAATGCCTGGTCTTCAGATCTTTTTAATCTTTGTTACTTAGTGAGGCAGAACACATATATATTTAAATATATATATATATGTATAATCTTTTACTAATAGGTACAGGCCTTGAATTTGCTTTTAAGTAGGTGAAAATTCACTTAGTAGTTGAAAGAAATAGAACGATGACATCTTGTGTTGTAATTGATTGTGTAAAATCCAAAGTTGCTTTAGAACAACAGTGTTTAGGTGACTGTAGATATTTTGCTTGGGCTTCTTCCTGCACTAGCCTGCAGCAGCAAACAATATGGCTTGTGCCTTTATCACTAAGTGGAAGTGTTGGGTCTTTTTTCTCCCTAGAGATGGCAAATCCTGAGGTAGTTATAAGTACCTGTGGCTCCCTGGAAGAGGAGAATCCCTGCACTTTTAACCAGAATACATCTCCATCACAGGAGCTTCTGTTAGAAGACCAGATGAGGCGAAAACTCAAATTTTTTTTCATGAATCCTTGTGAGAAGTTCTGGGCTCGAGGAAGAAAGCCATGGAAACTTACCATACAAATTCTAAAAATTGTGATGGTGACCATCCAGGTAAGAATCTCACATCATAACTTCAGTGAAAGCCTTGGTAAATCACAAACAGGATGGTGGAGAGTTTATTATTATTATCATTATTATCATTATAACTTTTAACTGCATGCTTAATGGAGAGCAGCAAATAAGGAAACATATGATTTAAACCCGTCTTTCTTTGATATGGGATTTAAATAAGGTTGCTTAGCTTAAAGTAACTTCAGAAATAGAAGTCAAGTTAGGTGGAAGGTGATGACACTGGCTTCTCTTTTTTTTCCTTTTCACTTCTCATTAAGTTATAGTTTTAACTTATTCATGTATTTACTTTTTAGTGGTACTGGGGTTTGGACTCAGGGCCTCACACTTGCTAGGCAGGTGCTCTAACACTTGAGCCATGCACTAGCCCTTTTTTGTGTGGAGTGTTTTCCTGATAGGGCCTTGTGAACTATTTGCCTAGGCTGGCTTTGAACCATGATTCTCCTATCTCTGTCTTCCCAGTAGCTAGAATTACAGGTGTGAGCCACCTGTGACAGGCTTAAGTTATAGTTTTGGTCACATATTCTGACTGTTTTTCAGGAACAAAAAATTTAAATATTTGGATTCCAGTCAAGAGGTTAAACGGAGATTTCTGAATCAGTGGTGTAAACTAGCCATTGTCCCACACGAGGACTTTCTTTTCCTTTCTGTCAGTATCCTGGGCATTTCTCTTCGTTCAGAAACTTAATGGGGTTCTTCAAAGGCAAATTACTTCAAGTTCCCTATATCCCTGTGAGCCTAAGAACTATGTAATAGGGGATGTGGAGTTAGCAGAAGAGCTAGTGTTAGCTGACACATGGGGCTTTGTTTTAGTTAAAAAGGAAATTTTAAATTTTATTTCCTTGGCTTCTTTCAAAAAATTTTTGGGAAGTCATATTTTGTGGACTTATATATACTGACTATGATTTATTTGTTTTTATTTATTTTCAGGGTACTAGGGTTTGAACTCAGGGCCTTGTGCTTGCTAGGGAAGTGCTTTACCACTTGAGCCATGCCTCCCAACCCTGGGCTATGGTTTATTTTTATGAAAATATGTTTTCCTGATAGTGAAAGTAATTATTTCTTATTAAAACCTTGTTCATATTTCTTTATAAAAATAAAAGCAGATTTTAATGGTTTCTCTCCTTGGTGAACAACAGGTATTGAAGGAGAGATTAAAAAAAAAAAAACTACTATTTATTTTTTAAAGCCAGGTTCTTGCCATGTAGTCTGGGCTGGCCTGGAAATCACAATCCTCTTGCCTTAGTTTCCCAAGTGCTGGGATTATAGGCCTGCACCACACCACTGGCCTGACATTACTAATCCTAACTGTTTATTGAGAACACATACTTAAGATTGATAGTCACTAAGGCAGTTTCTACAATCATAGGAAGCTTCCGGGATTCTTGCTTACATTTCTAACATTAGTTGTTGTAGTAAGGGAAACACACACTTGGGTGATTGATTGTTCCAGTACGTTATTTCATTTAGTGGTAAGCACTAGCACCTGTTATCTGACAGAGGCAGAAAATGATGTCTGGGGTTTGTGAAAAGCCACATGGCTCTTCAGTGGCAGAATCAAGACTTTAGAGGCAGGTCCACTCTCTTTTCTGTATCACCATGAACATAGATGTTCACTTCTCAGTATAGCGTTTGACATTTGAAATTGAAATTCTTAACTTTCAGGTGATAATACAATGTGTCACAGTAGTGAAAAGCTTATCTAGTGGTAATATATGAGGGAACACCTGTATCCATTAAGTATAATAACAATAGGTACCACTCAAGTTTTTGCTGTGTACCAGACTAAATATCTGACAGATTCTCATCACGTAAAACTCTTAAAATAAATGGGAGGCGGGAGTGGTGTCCTTATTCCATAGATAAGAGCACTGAGGCTGGGCATGGTAACAAGCCTGTCATTTTTGGGAAACTGGAAGAGCAGACTTATGAACTCTAAGACCAACATTCTTAATTCCTTCTTAATCTTTTTGACAGCTCATCTAACCTTTCTATACTTACTAAGGTGGTCCAGAGGAAAATAAGCTAGTAACTAAGCCCATTGGTGGTAAGTTTCATGAAGAAACTGAAGGTCTCTCAACTATATTTCCTTAACCAATAACTGAGCAATCAAATCACATAAAGAGAACTTTATCACATAAGGGTGACTTGGTGACCAATTATGTTTTACCAGGGCAAAGGAGTCTTCTTGGTTTTGTTTGTTGGTAGCTTTTGGCAATAGGGTCTCACTATGTAGCCCAGGATATCCTGGAACTCCATATGTAGCCCAAGCTGAGCTTGAACTTGTGATTTTCCTGCCTCTGCCTCCCAAGAACTGGAATCACATGCATGCATCACCACCCTGGTGAGTCTTTCTGTTATGTAGGAGATTTTATGTTTGCAGTAGCAAAAGGAAGAGGTCTACAATGATGGGTACCCTACAAAAATACTGCTTCTCCTACTACCTCACTCAGTCTCTAAAGTACAGCCATTCTGTCTGTCACCAGCCTTTGAGGGCCAGGACCAATTGTCTTCTCAATGTCCTTAGCACCTAGATCAGTGCTGGCATGTGGGGGGCTCTCATGTAATTGAATGAATTGGCATGAATATTTTTGGGAAATCTTTGGAGGTTTTTAGCCATCAGCATCAACAGATATAAAAATCCTTGGCATACTCTGGTTTCTCTTCAGATCGGATAAATCTTTCACCTTTTTAAAAATCCTTGGCATCTCAAACTATCGTCTTATTGGGATTTAAATGAGGACACTTAGCTTAAAGAAACTCTTCAGAAAGGGAGTTAGGTGGAGGATGATGACATGAGTGGGTGCTAGTCAGACATCACAAAGATGGGAGAAAGATTACTCTATATTTTTCCTGATCACACCCTGAATTACATTTCATAACATGGTAAGATAGATAGATCTGGAATTTACTCTATCAGACATAGTTATAATTTTGACTGTACACTTTCTAGATGTGACTTGGAGAAATTATTTAATTTCTGTGAGCCTTTGTGTACTCATCTTCAAAATTGTTGTATTAGAAACTGTGCTAAGGGATAATAAATATGAAGAAAGTTCCTGGAATAGTGCACTGCACAGAGGTACTCAGTGTTGTTCCCCCCCTTTCATTTAAAACATCCCCTGCCTTACCCTTGGATCTGAAACAGAGAGAGAGAGAGACAGACAGACAGACAGAAAGACAGAGAGACAGAGAGACAGAGATTGAGACTGAAGTGGTTTGAGAGGGAGGAAGTTAAAGAGAGACTTGCAGTAAAGCAAGAAATGAACAGTGAAACGCTTCTTGTATGTGAATAATTGAGTTTCCTGTAAAAGTCTGGGGTCAGTCCTACCTGAATATTAGGGTCACTTTGTGTTATATACTTTAGTTTAGAGATGATTTGAAAGTATATTTTCTATTTTGGGTCTTATTATCACGTCTTTGGTAATGAGGCCTAGGAATATATAGACCTCAAACTTGGACTTCCGTGTAGTCTGTGACCAGCAGCTGCAAGCCTTGATGTCCTACAGAATTCATTGCAAACTCGTCTTCTTACCGTTCAAATCCCTGTACTATCTGTCTCCACTTTTTCTGCTCAGACTTTTCACCCTCTTATCATTTCTTTTTATTTTTTTTAAGCTGGTTCTTTTTGGACTAAGTAACCAGATGGTAGTAGCTTTCAAGGAAGAGAACACTAAAGCCTTCAAGCACCTCTTCCTAAAAGGCTACACGGACCGGATGGATGACACATATGCAGTGTACACGCAAAGTGATGTATACGACCAGATCACCTTCGCAGTGAATCAGGTAAATCAAACTTGTGCATTTTTTCCTTTGTGCTGCTGGGAATGGAACCCAGGCCCTTACATTCCAGGCAAACACTCTACTGAGCTACAACCCCACAGGCATGTATTCTTTATTTAGGAGAAAAGACAGATTGGAAAAATGATGGTAATGGATGTTACAGAAACTGATACTCTAGTGTTAAGGGTTGAACAATTTCACATGGAAATGACTTAGATATAAGACCATCTTAGAACTGGTTTCTAAAAACATTGCCAACACATTCTTTTTATATTAGAAATTGAGAAAAGCTTTTGTTAAATGGCATTTTTTTCTCTTTTACAAAATTGGAAAACAGGAGGGCAGAACAGGCCCTGTCTGGGGGGGTTGGTACCAGTGGCAGGGAGGAGGACGTGGGGAAAGTGTGTAGAGGGTGAATATAGGGCAAATACTGTGTATACATGTATGTAAATGGAGAAATGAGACCTGTTGAAACTATTTCAACAATGAGGGGCAGAGGAGATAAAGGAGAATGATGGAGGGGTGGATTCAACTATGATATATTTGATATATTGTAAAAACTTTTGTAAATGCCACAGTGTACCCCCAGCACAACAATAAAAATAAACAAATAAATAGATAAATAAATAGAAAAAAAGAAAAGCTTTTGCTTTTCTTTTTGTCTCACAGAGAGACAAAAACTTTAATGCTTAACTACAACCATCAGAGCTAATCCTTGACATGGGAGCCTCAAAGATTTAAAATTACTGACATACCCTGGGTAGAAGCAGTCATTAAGTCTTCAGAGCCTATACTTTCAGAGGCTCATAACAAATAATGAGAATATTATATTTGCAGAGTTTGTGTAGCAATCAAGACCTGAAAGTTCATTTAAATGTAAGTAGTGCTTTTGTGTCACACATGACAATGAGTTTATTGTGATCTTGACTGACAAGCAAGAAATAGGCTTGCTTTTCATAGAGAGGAGCATATTTTTACTCTAAGTTCTTTGTTGTTTATTTTGATGTAAACAATACTTTGTCAAGATCCAAAGCTAGCTATTATCGAAAGTGCTCTTGAGGTCAGTATGCCCATCCTGGATTAGTTTACAGACCACACATTTCATAATTATTACAACTCTTCTTCAAATTTTGCTGTAGTGCCATCATGACTCTTCATTTTCTAGAAACAGTCTATGTGAACCAAGATGGTAAACTGCTAAAATAAAATACGTCTTATGGCCCCAAACGTTCAGTTAGCATCAGGAGTGAGAAAATTAGAAAATAGAAGTAAGCTGCCTAAATTGTTAAATAGAATTATACCCTACAGTCTGTAGGGGAAAAACAGCTTAATGCTGAAGATACTCAGCTTTAAGATTTTTAAATGTACTGAGGCAAGAAGTAAACAGTCCATTACATTCTTTACAAAAATCTTTACCTTCAATAGTAGACCTAAACACTGTCTTCAAAACATTATATGTGGCACTCAGGCCATTGTGTTTCTCAGAGCTTCATGTCCTTTTCTTGTAGAGTCATTATCCTAGTTGTCTTGTTTGTCCTGATGCTCTAATAAAATACCCAAGGCTGGACAATTTGTAAGCAACAGGAATTTATTTCTCACAGTTCTGGGGGCTGAAGAGGCTAAGAGCAAGGATCTACAGGCTCAGTGTCTTGCATTTTCTTGCTGTGTTCTTGCATGGTAGAAGGGGTGGGGAAGGTGGAAAAGGTCTAACTACATCTTCTAGCCCTTTTGTGATGCTGTTAATCCCATTCAGAGAGCAGCACCCTCATTATTTAATCACTTCTTCAAGGTCTCATCTCCATATGTCAGCATATTGAAGTTTTAAGTTCCAACATGTGAATATGGAGGTATTTCCATGTAGAATTATACTGTAGGGCCTAGCCCTAAGATGTGGTCTATCTGGACAGTCTCCAGGGCTCATTCTGATCCAATGATTATGAGTCTATGATCATAACAGCATCACTTCTCACTTACTGAATCTGCTTGCATATTTAAGTGTCAAACACATCGTTGTTTTGGTTTTATACTTCATCCTGACTTTCAGCTTTTTTCTGAAATCAATTTTGGGTCATCTTTACTGGCTCCTTTCTTTCATTTGCTCCTTAATTTTGGACAGTTCCTAAAGATCTGTCTGCCTGTACCTTGGAATGAACCTGTTTAAAGTAACCTCATATTCTCTTCCCACTTGCTCCCTAGAATGGTTCTTCTTTGTGGTCAGTTGATTAGATTTAAAGCCTCAGAGTCTCCTTGGAATATTTACTCTTTCAGTTCAAACACAATGTATACATGATTGGTTTCCCTTCTTCCCCATCCACCTGCCCTAACACTTTTTGGTTGTTTTCTAAAGAGCTCACCTAGAATCACAGATCTTATTGCATAATACTCCTCATGATACAGCTATAGACACACATAATGTACCTATACATACACTGTATCCCATGAGGGAGAGCACTCAACTGTGTCAAGTACAATGGAGAAGTTAAGTCGATGAGGACTGAGAGCTAAGCCTCAAACTTGGTAGCAGCTGCTCACCGGGGACAAGGTCCAGCCCCAAATCCATCCCATAGGCCCAGAGTATAAGTTATTTCTTTCTTTTGTCATGGCACGTCTTGCATACATCATTACTATGCTTATTTTTCTGTGTCTGTCATATAAAATGGTTAATTCCAAGAGACAGATACCATATCCTTTTCTTCATATGACCAATTGTGCCAAACATATTGCTTATAGTCAGATCTGAAACACTTATTTTAGAAACATCTTCAGAAATCCCTTGAGCTTACACTGAAAATTATTCCAAGGTATCATAAGATTCTCATTTGTAAAAGTAATATATTGTTTTATTTAGAATACTCACTAGGATAAAGAAAATGTTTCTGTGAAAGTGAGTAAACTATATACTTGCTGAAATAAAGATTAATCAATATTAAAAAAAAGTTTTAATAGTTATCCTTGAACAAACATATCCTACTTTTTGTTGTTGTTTTTGGTGGTACTGGAGTTTGAACTCAGGGTTTTGTGCCTCTCCTGCTTGAGCCATGCCTCAGTCCTTTTTTGTTCTGGTTATTTTAGAAATAGGGTCTTGCTGCTTTTTAAAAAAACTTTTAAATTGGGGAGGGCCTGAACTGCAATCTTCCTATTTTAGCTTCCCACCATTCATTGCTGGGATGACAGGGGTACACCACCATACCCAGTTTTTTGGGTTTTTTTCCATTAAGATGGAAGTCTCACTAACTTTTTGCCACAACTGGCCTCAAACTGTGATCCTCCTAACCTCAGCCTTCTAACTAGCCTCAAATTGTGATCCTCCTAACTTCAGCCTTCTAAGTAGTTAGAATTACAGGGGAGAACCACCAGCACCTGGCCCACTTCTTATATTATAGTAATGAAGAGCTCTGACCTTGTAAGAAATAGTTCAAAGATAAGCAAAATTTATATTCACACTGAATGCAAAGATATCAGGCCATGGACATAGTTCCTTAAAAGCAGAAAGAACCTAAGATTCTTTAAGATTATAGAATAAATATAATCTTGGTATTAACTCATTGATCTAGCAATGAAAGAAAGAAAGAAGAAAGGAAGGAAGGAAGGAAGGACAGGAAAGAAACCTCAAAGGCTATTTTACTTCAGACGATAGGTCCTGTAACCAAGTGGCATTGATAACCAGCTTCTAAAATCTTAATTCAAATAAATGAACCAGAAGTTCAGAACATTTGTGACAGAGATGAACCTTGAACCCAGAAGTCTAATTCCAATGTGGTCTTTGTCCTGGGTCTTCCTGGTACTCAGCAAGTCACTCACTCTACATATCAACCTGAGTGTCTCCACCCGGGGGGAGGTGGGAACCTTCCAGTCCCAGAGTGGGGAAGGAGGGACATCATGGCTTCCGTCCTGCCCTGACTGGCACCCCACTTCTGGTTTCTCCTTTTGGTCCAAGTTCTTGCAGCTCCGCAACATGTCAGTTGGGAATCACGCTTATGAGAACAAGGGTTCCAAGCAGTCTGCCATGAGAATCTGTCAGCACTTCTACAAGCAAGGAAACATCTGTCCTGGAAATGATACCTTTGACATTGACCCGGAAATTGAAACAGGTGATGTTCTTCCATAACCTAGAGTTTTAGTTTTTAACTTCTTGAATCCTAAAAAAGCAAAAAGACATGAGACAGAACTCAAGCCTTTCTCTAGCTTCCAAACAGCCCAGAAACGTAGCCTGTTAGGTCTTAAACGCACACCAGGCCCTGTAACCAAGTGCATTGATGACTAGCTTCTGAAATCTTAATTCAGATAAATGATACTCCATAACTGATCTTAAATGTATTAGCCATTCAAAATGCAGTCTTATGTATTTATTTTAGATCCAACATCATGTTTTTGTTCCTTTCTGTGGCAGAATGTCTCTTTGTAGAGCCTGATGAGCCTTTTCATATTGGAACACCAGAAGAAAATAGACTCAACTTGTCACTGGACTTCCACAGGTGAGGACAGAAGATGGGAGCATAGCCGAGGCTTGTGTGGACATTCCCTGGAACTGAAGTGCCCTATCTTTCAGGCTCTTGACTGTGGAGCTGCAGTTTAAACTAAAGGCCATTAACCTGCAGACAGTCCGTCATCAGGAACTCCCTGACTGTTACGACTTTACTCTGACTGTAAGTTTGGGCTGTGTTCTGTGTTCTTTGTTTCTGGTCCAGAGGAAAAAAATGTTTTATCCAATTACATACTTGTACTAGGCATGATAAAAAAAAAAACAATATAGGATGTTTCTCCATAGATGTACATAGACGAAACATTGATACGGCTAGTTGTATTTTGCTATAATTTACTTGCTAGTTATTATCTGCACCTCACTGTGTGTTCTGTTCTGTAAGGAGAGGGACTTGTCTTATTTACTACTGGCTTCAGTACAGTGCGAGCACAGAGTAGATGTGGAGACACAAAAGGAACAGAGATGTGTGGCTTTCTGCTTACTGTCATTGCCAGCGGTTCTTGTACTGAGTTTCTCATTGTGGATGCCTGCAGCCTTTGGGTCACTGCTCACAGTAACTTCCTTGTGCTGCCTCTGAATGCTGTAGTTCATGTCTTCCCTATCAGTCCACCCCATCACCTCTACGTTGTCTGTATTCAGGTTGCAGGTGTTGCTATGAAACTCTAGAGAGCACAAGATGTTCTCAGGTAGTTTATCACCTCACAAGATCAGAGTAGTAGTCCACGGCTGTTTGGTCGTAGGTAGGGCAGCATTTGAAACAACTTTATCCATTTTCTATTATTTCAAAAGTTGTGTCTCTGATACTCAATGAATTAGTTGTGAAAAACAAAGTTTGCAGACACTGAAGTTCAAGAAATCAGCATATAATATAATAATTATGCAGAGCATTTTACAAGAAAAACCACCAAAATTTTAATGCTATTTCGAATTAGGCTGTAAATTTTGATCCTAATATTAACCAACAAGTTATGAATTATCAGAATCACTTGATTTTTTTTTTAAAAAATGAGCTGCCATCCACAGTCTGCTCACTTTTTCTCTTTCTTAAATTTGAGAAGTGACACTTTCTGGAATTTTATGATTCTGGTAACTTCTTCATTGACCCTTTTGTGATTTCTCAGTTAGAAATACATTTTATGCACTGATCACCCAGATGTTTTTTGTTGTTTTGATTTGTCTTTTGTTTTTTTTTCCCTCTCCCTCTTTTGAATTTTATGTGGGTTAGCACCTTGTCCTTTGTTTGAGGACTTTCTTGGTGTTTGTCATCAATTTTGTTAGACTGACAGTTCCTTCAAGGCAGGAACCATTATGTTAACCTTTTCATCCCTCAAAGAGCACAGTAATAACACAAATAATTGTTGAATGAATAGATGAGACACTCGTAAATCCAGATCCTTTCTAATAACTCAATCCAGATACCTAAGTCCTTGTTAATACTAGATAACTGATCCATTCCAAAGGTACTTTTTACCTGCACTGTGTGCTCAGCTGGATTAATAATGGGAGAGTAGTGTACTTGTGTTCATGCATAGTAGTTTATCTTATATTTTGAGGGTCTTTATTAGATATATAAACACCCAGGATTTTTATATTCATTTGATGAACTAACTTGTATCATTTAAGAAATGGTAATTTTTCCCTCCTTTTTCTGCCTTCTTTTTTTATTGTTTTATTATTCATATGTGCATACAGTGCTTGGGTCATTTCTCCTCCCTGCCCCCACCCCCTCCCTTACCACCCACTCCACCCCCTTCCTCTCCCCCCGCACTCCCTTGATACCCGGCAGAAACTATTTTGCCTTTATCTCTAATTTTGTTGAAGAGAGAGTATAAGCAATAATAGGAAGGAACAAGGGTTTTTGCTAGTTGAGATAAGGATAGCTATACAGGGAGTTGACTCACATTAATTTCCTGTGTGTGTGTTACCTTCTAGGTTAATTCTTTTTGATATAACCTTTTCTCTAGTTCCTGGTCCCCTTTTCCTATTGGCCTCAGTTGCTTTTAAGGTATCTGCTTTAGTTTCTCTGCGTTAAGGGCAACAAATGCTAGCTAATTTTTTAGGTGTCTTACCTATCCTCACACCTCCCTTGTGTGCTCTCGCTTTTATCTTGTGCTCAAAGTTCAATCCCCTTGTTGTGTTTGCCCTTGATCTAATGTCCACATATGAGGGAGAACATACGATTTTTGGTCTTTTGGGCCAGGCTGACCTCAATCAGAATGATGTTCTCCAATTCCATCCATTTACCAGCGAATGATAACATTTCGTTCTTCTTCATGGCTGCATAAAATTCCATTGTGTATAGATACCACATTTTCTTGATCCATTTGTCAGTAGTGGGGCATCTTGGCTGTTTCCGTAACTTGGCTACTGTGAATATTGCTTCTGCCTTCTTTTTTGAATATTTTTTGTGATTCCCTTTTGTCTCATTTGTTGATGTATTAGCTATATCTCTCTGAAGTATTTTTTGAGGGTTTATGTTGTACACCTTTACCTTATTACAGTCAACACTAAAGTGATGTAAGAACCGTACATGATTTCATCAGACATTTTTTTGTGACCCTCCCCAGCCCACCACCTTTCAGAGGTCCCAATTCATATCTGATTGGTCAGTTGAAGTTGTTCCATAGCTCACAGATGCTCTGGTTGTTCATGTTATGTTTCAGTCTTTGTTCTTTGTGTGTTTCATTTTGAACAATTTTATTGGTATGGCTTCAAATTTAATAAACTTTTTTTCTGTGCTAATCTTTCCTAATTCCATCCAGTACTTTTTCTTCTTGGAGGGATACAGCTTATTCTGAACCTTACTGAGATAGAATTGATATTAAGTCATGGCTTATTTACTCAAGATATTTAATGGACACTTACTCTTTATCAGACCCCAAGGCTCTTTGGGTGAATAAAGCATAGTTTCTGCTTGACAAGGATTTTTGACTATGTTAAATAATAGTAAGCATCTCCTTTTGGGGGGGCTCTAGCTGGGTCCTCTAACCTCCAGCCCCTATGAGGAAGGGCAGACACTGACAAGGGCCTCAGTTGCTTGTCAAGGAAAGAAACTTGCAATCCATCTTGAGGACAAATAGAGTGACTTTTTTCTTTGCAGTATTGGGGGTTGAAGTCAGGGCCCTGCACTTGCTGAGGAAGTACTCTGCCACTTGAGTCATGCTCCAGTCCTTTTGATTTCAGTTTGTTTATCAGACAGGGTCTCCTGCTAACTGTGCCAGGGCTGGCCTCCAACTGCGATCCTGTTATCTCCATCTTCTAAGTAGCTGGGACCACAGGAATGTGGTACCGTGCTGACTTGTTTTTGAGATAGGGTCTTGCTAACTTTTTCCCAGCTTGGCTTCCAACCACGATCCTCTTATCTCTGCCTCCCAGATAGCTGTGATTACAGGTGTGAACTGTCACACCAAGCTAGAGTGACTAGACTCTTTAAAGTCATTTGAAATTTCAAATATGAAGTGATTTCTGACTACCTGACTTAGGGAAACTTCAATAAAATCATTTAAACTTTTCTTAAATTTGATTTTGTTTTCATTTTGGAGATACTGAGGTTTGGACTCGGCCTCACACTTGCTAGTTAGGTGTTTTTTCACTTTAGCCATGCTTTCAGCTCTAATAAAATTAATTTAAGCAACAGACATTTAACAGAAAAGAGAGAGAGAGAGAGAGAGAGAGAGAGAGAGGAGATAATGATGAGAGAGACAGACAAACAGACAATGGACTGATTTCATCGGGGAAAGGGAAGGATCTAGAAGGGGAAGATGCTAAGGTGATGGGAGGCATTTTGGTATAGCTGTGTCCTGCCTGGTGGTTGGTGTCTTGGACCGGTTATCTGAGAAGCAAGACGTAGCTGGCGACTCCCTGTCAGCAAGCCCTTTGTGGTGCTAGAGTAACTAAGAAATCTAGGCCCAGAATGAAAAGGTAAAAATTCCAGTTGAAATGTCTCAAAACAGAAATAATAAGCCTTTGTGTCAATAAAATTTGCAAAGGCACTGAAAATCTACCCATAGCTGAGACCCTACTGGAAGGTGGAACAAAATGTAGCTGTGCCAGCCCTCGCCATCCCAAAAGGGCATCGGTGCTCCCTGGATGGGAAGGAAGGGGAGCCACTCTTGTTATAAAAAATGTCTGGCCCTTGAATGCTATGCTAGAAACAGAGTTTCAGAGATAAAAGTTCTCAAATAAAAGAACTAATTCAACCTTCTCAACTCATAGAGAAATAAAGAGAACTTTCCAGGATTGAATTGAGTTAGCAATAGGTCATAGATGAGAATCTGGGTCTCCTGTCCCCTTAAAAGAATTGCTTTCTAATTAGTGCAAAGAGTTATCTTGGGCTCAGTAACTATACATATATGACTTTATTGCTTTTCCTGTCTTTACAGATAACATTTGACAACAAGGCTCACAGTGGAAGAATTAAAATAAGTTTAGATAATGACATTTCCATCAAAGAGTGTAAAGACTGGCATGTGTCTGGATCAAGTAAGTGATAAGCTTTACTTATTTTCAGGGTAGTTATTAAATGATGTAAAATGGTTATTAAATTACTGCCTCCAAAATATGTGGAATACCAAATAAAGATTAGACCATTCCCAAGTACCCAGAGTCTGGAAGTAGATGAGTGGATTACAGATATCTGATGTTTGAGGCAATACATACATTGTTAGTAGTTCAATGACTCCTGCCTTCTCTACATTTCATGCCCATTCTTTACAAAGAACCTGCTCATAGTCCCACCAAAAACACACCCAAGCCAAAACTGATTAAGTACATACGTATTTCCATCTTCATTTTCATCATTTTGATATTTTTAAATGTGCTCGAGAGGCAGAATCCTTATTTTTGCAGATGAAGAAACCAAAAGCTCAGCAGTGATGTCTGGTGTCCAAGGCCATACGGCCAGGGAAAAGTCAAAAAGACAAAATGAGGAAAAGATCTGTTCTTAGAAGTACAGACAAGAATTCAGATGCAGACTGAGCACTGTCAAGAATTTCGGAGCCAAATGGGAGAAAATCACCTGAAAACAATTATTTGTCTTATTTTCTATTCCCTCGTAAGAAAGAAACATAGTGAAATTTTGTGCTAGACTTGATCCCTTGTCAGGGATTCTTGGCTTCTAGTGAGTAGAGGAATCATCTCAGATACCTGGGAAGATGCAGTTCTCCCAGCTCCACACTGCCGTCAGTGGGTCTGAGATGGGATCTAGCAATGTATATTGTCCTTACTTAGACCATATGGATAGTCACTGTTTTGGATTTTCCTACTGATTGATTTGCAAAACACATTATTGTGTTAATAAAAATAAAGGGCTCGCAGAGTGGCTCAAGTGGTAGAGTCTGCTAGCAAGCGTGAGACCCTGGATTCAAATCCAAGTACTGAAAAAAAAATCCTGTAATCCTAGCTACTTGGGAGGATCATGGTTAAAAGCCTGGCGAATACTTTGTGAGACCCTATCTCAAAAAAACCCATCACAAAATAAAGGGCTGATGGAGTGGCTCAAGGTGTAAGCCTGGGTTCAAATCCCAGTACCATAAAAATAAACAAATAAGTAAAATCACAGTCGCACATAGTGGTGCTCACCTGTCATCCCCACAATAGGGCGGCTGAGGCAGAAGGATCATGACTTTGAGGCCAGTCTGGGCTACACAGTGAGACTATCTCAAAAAAATAAAAGCAAACCAAAAAAGGTTAAATAAAATGAAGTTTCTTCATTGTAGTATTATTTGCATTAATAGGCAACTTCAAATATGTTAGGCTCTTGAGTCAAAATTTATTTCAGTCATAAACTTATTTATTTGAAATACAAGCCTCTTTTTCCATCTGTAAACATAATCATGCTTCTTAAACCTTAGAATAAGGAAGACGGGAGCATGTGAAAGTGCCTGGCCCATAGGCTTCCTCTCAAATGCTTGTTTCTTGATTTTTTTCAGTTTTTCTAAAGTAGATGTAGATGTTTGTGTAGCCATTAGATTGACTCCAGGCAGCCATGGTAGGATGCTTCTTTACAGAACTAGTCTCAAGTGCTTTTTCTCTAGATCAGTATAGAGCAGTCCGACTGGCAAGAGAGCACAGGGTATAGTGGCTGAGGCCTCTGTCCATCATCTCTCTTCATTGGCACCATTCACACTGGCCAGGACTTTACAGATTCTTCAGAATCTCTATATGGAGGGTGCTTTCTCATCACTTCGGTCTGTTAAAACCTGTGTCTCCCTAGGTGAGGCCTTCTATTACCATGCAATGTACAAAGACCTCTCTTTTCCCTATTCCCCCACAGCCACCTCCCCCATACAGAGCTGTGGATCTCAAATGGTAGCGTCACCTGGAAAGTTCGCAACACACAGTTTCTGATTCAGTGGGTATGGTGTAAGATCAGAGAATGTGCATTTCTAATCAGTCCCTAGGGATGCCAAGAGCCACTGATAAAGAGTGACAAGTGCTGGCAACAGACTGAAAGTTTCAAATCCTGATCCTACCATTACTAGCTGTGTAACCTTGGGAAAATTATGTGACCTCTCTGCGCTTCAGTTTTTCTCCCTTGAAATATGGGGGTGATCATGCCCACCTTGTTGTGGCTACTATGAGGATAAAATGAGTTAACACATGTCAGTGCTTGGGACTCTGTCTAGAAGAAAGATGTATAGCACATGTCAGTTATAATGGTTTGTTTATATCCTTTATAACTGAAGATACTTTGTTTATACTTGTTTCCTTCTTTGTTTGTATCCATTGTAGTAGAATGGAACTTCCATAAGATCAGGGGCTTTGTCTATCTCATTCATGACTGTATCCTAGCATCTAGAAAAATGTGCATAGTGGGTGCTTAATGAATATCTTATACCAGGTAAGTATATGTTAATAGGCTTTGCAGGAAAGGAAGGACATTTTTTTTTTTCAGTGCTGGGTGTTGAACCCAAACCTTGTGCAAGCTGGCCAAGTGCTGTACCACTGAGCTACATCCCCAACCTAGGCAGGCTAAGTGCATTTAGAGCAAAAGACCACAAGCTGATAACTAAATATCTTTGATCAATCATTACTGGTGATTTTTAAAAGGACTTTTAGCCTTCTTTAAATACTAATTGGAAGTGGAAAAATGAGAGCTGTCAAAACTATTGCAGGAATGAGGGAAGGGAAGATAAAGGAGAATGATAGAGGGGGTAAATTCAATTATGATATATTGTAAGAACTTTTGTGAGTATCATAATGTACCCCTAATACCACAATAATATGATAATAAAAAATGTAAAATAATTAATTAGAAGAATGCTTATCAGGGCTTTTTTTCTTTGTTGTCTTTCTGGAAGGAGTACTTGAATTATCTAAATTATTCTAAAAGAGTTAGATGTCACCGTATTACTGTCTCATCACTTGCCACTGCTCTACACAATCTTCTTTGCAGGCTGGGGGCATGGCTGAAGTGATAAAGCACCTGTTTAGCAAGCAGGAGGCCCTAAGTTCGAAACCCAGTACCACCTAAAGAAACAAACAAACAAATAAATCCAATAACAGTAATATTCTTTGCTTGCAGTTCAGAAGAACACTCATTACATGATGATCTTTGATGCCTTTGTCATTCTGGCTTGCTTGTCTTCCCTACTCCTCTGCCTTAGATCTGTTGTGAGAGGACTTCAACTTCAGCAGGTAGGGACTGCTGCTCTCTAGGAATGCCACTGACATATCTATTGACAGAGAAACTGAGTGTGTTTCTCCCTTTTTTCTGAAGGAATTTGTCAGTTTTTTCCTCTTCCATTATAAGAAGGAAGTTTCAGCCTCTGATCGGATGGAATTTGTCAATGGATGGTATATTATGATTATTATTAATGACATACTGACAATCACTGGATCAATCCTGAAAATGGAAATCCAAGCCAAGGTAATTTTTTCTTTCCAAATCATGCCATCATTTGTATAGATTTAGTAATGTATTTTTTCCCAAAATGTGAGAATTTTCAGAGCAAATGAAGAGTGAATATGGTGCAGAAAATGTGTATACATGTATATAAATGCAAAAATGATACCTGTTGAAACCCTTCCAGGGATGGAGGGAGGAAAGGATAAAGGAGAGCAGTGGAGGGAATGAATTCAAGTATGACATATTTGATACACTGTAAGAACTTTTGTAAATGCCACAGTGTACTCCCACCCAGCACAGCAATAAATAATAAAAAAATATTTTAAGTAAACTTGAAATTGATAACAGTAATTTTTATAACTCTACTTAGGAAGTTTCTTAGGCAGAGTTTTTCAAAGTATAATTCACAAACCCCTCCATCAGAATCATTTGGGTGCCCTGTAAAAAATGCCCGTTGTTAGTCCTGCTGAATTTGAACCCTCCAGTAGAACATATGAATTCTTACACACACCAAAATTCATACACACAGCAAGGTAATTAAGGTAAGAATTAAAAAAAATATTGTAAGGAATGTTAACATGCTCAACAAGAAAAGAACAGGGGAGGAGTGTGGGTATTTGTATTTGTTTCCTCTATCCATTCAAAATGATAGTACTACCATTTTCATTCCTTTCCCATGATGGGCTCCAAATTTATCCTTTTTAAGTTTAGATTAACCTAACATAGAAATCAACTGCTCCCTCACAACAAAAGTCAAATTTAAAAGCAAATTGTTCAAACTAACCTTGCTTACTTGTATTTTCCTAGCCTGGATGCAACTACTGAATAGTATGTGTCACCTAGTGAGCCAAGTATCAGCCTGGGGAGACACTCCAACTGCAATGGCTCAGATAAGAGAGGAGCTTATTTCTCTTTTACCCTGCTGGGTTTTTGTTTATTTGTTTGTGGTACTGGCTTTGAACCTAGAGCCTCATGAATGCTAGGCAAACACTTAACCACTGAACTACATCCCCAATTTTCTCTTATATAATGGTCAGGGTTGGGTTTTCTAGGTTGCCAAGTCACTCAGCTCCATGCAGTTATTCAGGAACCCAAGGTCCTCCCATTTTGTTCCTTTGCCAGTCATTAAAGGTTCATGCTGACTGCGTGACCTACACTAGGTTGCCTTACAAACAGGTTGAAACCCATGGGAAATGAAACCCCATATGGTGAAAGCTCTCCCAGTCTCATGGCCTTGCTTCAAGAATGGTGGATTTCTGTTCACATCCCACTGGAGAGAACCTGGTCAAACCTACCTACAAGGGGAGTCGGGAAGCACACCCAGGCATATCCTAGTAAGAAGAGAGTGGGTTTAGGGCAGTGTTGAGCAGCTGCCACCATATGTGGCTGTAGTCTATGCCATTTAACTGTAGGGACACATATACCTGAAGAGTAAGCATAGATTTTCAGCAAATTTTTATTTTTACCTACCTTCAGTGATTCTTTAATGGTGACCAATAATCCTTCTTACTTAACTAAGACCATCCAGTTCTCCTGTCTCATAAATGATAACTTCTTCTCTTCTGAAACCTCTAACTCCATCCTTACTCTCAACTGAAGACCTCGCTTCCTATTTCACAATAACAGCAGGAAAAAACCCCAGAACTTCCACAAGCTCCCACCTCATTTATCTATCCACAAGCCTCAGTGCCCATTTATTCCATTTTCTCTGTTACCATGAATAACATAGGCAACTCTCCAAGACCAGCCCATCCACCTAACCTTACAGGAGCAAGCTTAAGCCATCCAGGACAGAGGTCTACTTACTCTTCCTTCTCTCTGGCATCATCAGTGTTTTTCTCTCTACCATGTAATTCCTCCATTACCATGCTTTTGAACTTTAAAAAAATTCATAAAATCTCAGCCTCATTTACCTTTCCAGCTACTACCTATTTCTCTTCTCCCCTTTCTATAAGTAAAATGTCTCAAAGAAGTAGTCAATCTTGATGTTTGAGATTCTGCTCCTCCCATTCTTCCTTGTATCTGTCCAATCAGGCTGCCTGCCTCTCCACAGCAAGTGTTTTTTCCAATGACCTCCCATGGTGCTGAGTACAATCATCAATTATTTATTCCCATCAGCTGCCAGTCAGCAGCTTTGAATGCTGTGAACACTCCGTCCTTGTTGCACTTTTTCACTGAGCTGTTATTAACATTTTCCTCAGAATCACTGACTGGTCTTTAGCTGTTTCCTCGCTGGTTCCATCTCACCTTGACAACCCATTAAGGTTCAAGGTGAAGTGCTTGGACAGCTTCCCTTTTCTGCCATTGTTTTGATAATTACATCCTGTCCTTTGCCAATAATTTCCAAATCTTTATCTTCAGATTGGAATTCTCTAAATTCCAGACCCAAGTATCCAAATGTCTATTGAGCATCATCACTTATGTCTACTTTTCCTCTCAAATGTAACATTAGTAGAACTCCTAAGATCCCCACCTCCTCAGTCTAAACCTGCTTCTCTCAGAGCCTTTCTAATTTTAGCTAATGGCAACTCTTTGCCATTGCTCAAGCTGAAAACCATACATTGGCTGAAGACTCCTTCCTGTCTTTTACTCATTCCCTCTTTCCTATATCTAATCGAAAAGGAGATCTTCTTCCACTACTTTTAAAAATCACTTTGTCACTGTCACTATTGCAGCCTGGTCCGAGTCAGACCCAGGACCCACCTAGATTATTGCAGCAGCCCTCTGACTCCTCCAGTGATTGGCTACCAATCACAGCAGCCAACATTTGATTCAGTGGATCTTGTCACTCTCTTCCAAATCTCCTCAGCCTTCTTCTGACCAAAAGGCAAAACTGTTAAGCATTCATGTGGTCTTATGCTACCACCATCTTTCCTCTATGTCTCTGTACTCTATAGCTCACTCCAGCCACACTCACTGTCCTGCCAGGTTCTTTTCTGCCTCAGGAGTCTTGGCACTTGTTGGTCCCTGTGCCTGGAAGTCTCCTCCCCAGATTTGTGCTTGACTTCATCATTCCTTTCAGATCATTCTCACACGCCACCTTTTCATTGAGACCGTTCTTGATCACCCTATTTCAAATTACAAATTCATACCCATTCCTTACCTCCTCCCCTGACTTTTCTCCTCAGCATTTACCATCAGCGAATGTACCAAAGTTTCTATCCATCTATTGCTGTTAACTCTGTCTGCCCCCCAACCCCTGCTAGAATGTAAGCTTCAGGGGGTAGAGAATTTTGTTTGTTCACTGCTTTAGCCTAGGCTAAAGCACTATTCTAGGTAGAACAGTGTCCAACTCATAGCTACCCAATAAATATAATATTTCTTACTCATTTGACATTCTGCTGTTTAATCTTTTTCTTCTTCTTCTTTCCCATTCCACCTTAGAGTCTTACAAGTTACGATGTCTGTAGCATATTTCTTGGGATCTCTACCATGCTTGTGTGGCTTGGAGTCATCCGATACCTCGGCTTCTTTGCGAAGTACAATGTAAGGAATTCCATGCTCTTGGCTTTTCTCTCAGAGTTACTGTACTGCTTTGGATGAAGAACAGAGGGATTCTAATAGCCTCTCTTACTTTTGCAGCTCCTTATTCTGACCCTTCAGGCAGCTCTGCCCAGTGTCATCAGGTTCTGCTGCTGTGCTGCCGTGATTTACCTGGGCTATTGCTTCTGTGGATGGATTGTGCTAGGGCCTTACCATGACAAGGTACTGGCAAACAACTCCTCCTGTTGTCATTAAACTCTAAGAACAGGGCCAATGACTTGTTTATCCTTTTAAAATGAACTCCTCTTATTTTGTGAGTCAGCCTTAAAATGCTGAAGGTAGTATATCTATTGCCATATTTATAAACTAGTAAAGTATGACCAACATGAGAGAATCATGATTCACTTAGCTCAAATCTTCTTTGCAATAAATCAGATAATTAAGTTATTTCTACCATGAATGAAGTCGAGTTTAGTCAGTTTGATTCATCAATATTTATTACAGCAAGATCTAGGCAAGCCTTCCCAAAATGTGACTTTATTTGTTTTAAAGTAGTATAAGGAGAAACTTATAGAGATATTTGAAAATTTTGCTACCAGAGCTATTGTCTTGAATATTATGCATTATTTTAAATGGAGAAACTTTAGAATGAGACACAGGTGCATGAATGGTTGAGACCTGAATATCTCCACACATTTCAGTGTTGCAACTCAGAAGGGGAAGAGGAAGGCTTGATTCAGAAAGGTCCTGAGTGTGCAGAATGACCTTTCTGCCTTCCTCTCAGGCTGCTCTAGGTAACAGGAGCTCATTACAGGGTTTATGCATCCCAAAGCAAATGCTCATGGCAGGCTACCTCAGGTTATTTCTTTGAAAGGTAGCTTGGGCTATCTGCCCCTTTATTTTAAATACAACGTCATGATCAAAGGTCTCAAATGGGAAAAAGCATGGAAGAAAATGAACTTATTCTTTTTTCTTTTTCCAGTTCCGTTCTCTGAACAGTGTTTCTGAGTGCCTCTTCTCTCTGATAAATGGAGATGACATGTTTGCAACATTTGCAAAAATGCAGCAGAAAAGTTACTTGGTCTGGCTGTTCAGCAGAATTTACCTCTACTCATTCATCAGCCTCTTTATATACATGATTTTAAGCCTTTTTATTGCACTGATCACGGATACATATGAAACAATTAAGGTAGGTTTATCAAGAGCCACAAGCAGCAGCATTCTTCCACAACTTGGATAAGAACAGTAAATGTTAATCTCTAATGTGGGGGAAAAGTTGATAAAATGTTAATTTCTATAGGTTAGAGAAGGACCTCAATTTCAGAACAAAAAAGAAATGCAGGAGAAACAGGATTTCTAGAATGTTGAAAGTCTTGTTTCTAAGTAATTAGACTTTTTAAGTAAGATTTCTAACCCTTTATTAGAATTACAAGGGTCAGTAGGTATTGGGTGAATAAAATAGATGGCATTTCAGGAAGCCACATTTTGGCGGGGTACTTTAAGAATCCAATTTTCATAAAGAAAAATTGACCCCTTCATTTGGTGTGTGGTGTAGCCAAACCCATTACTCTTTCAAGGCCACTCATGGCACAACTGCAGGGGCTTAGCCTTTAGAACAGCAAAGGGATCTGTGTGCCAACTGCTAACCATCATGCTTTCTAAAGTCAGAAACCTGCTTTGCAAAACCATTGCCTCTCGTATTTAAAAAATACTTTCGAGCCTCTTGAAATATGGAAAGGTAGACTATCTACATATATTTAAATTTCCAAAAATCGTATGGCTGGGGTGTACTATTAGCATAGGCATTTTCCATGTGGGGACTTTTCTTTCTGGGAGTGAGGGGAAAATGAAGCATGATACCATGTGACTTGCCCAGGGATGGAGAGAAGGCTGCTGTGGTTTGGAGTTGATAATTGTGAATAATTTTGAATAATATACTCTCGTGAAGCCTGGGCCATGACTTCATTCTTACTGAACCAGATTTCAGGAAATGTCTCCCCTCCTCATTCTTCAAGACCTGCTCAGCAGATGTATGATTTGGTCCCCAGGGCCACTGGTAAAGATGGCATGTATCTGTCCAAATTCCTCTCTATGAAAGTTCACTATCTTCAGTTCTGTGAGCAGAGAACTGTGTCCCTCACAGGTGACATCCAAAATCTCCAAGCATAACTTTTGAGGACACGAGCCTGAGCCTCTTGTTTTAGATGTTAACCGCTTTCTGTGGGCTCAGGGAACTTGCCAGGTGGGGAAGGCAAATTATTTCTGATCTTTTTTTGCTCAAGGCAGAGGTCTTAGACCCTGAACAAGTATACATATGGGGCCCTTCAACAAACCTGTCTGCCTGAAGAAGTGATCCTAACTGGGTGTACAGGTTGGAAAGGTATTTTATAGCATTCAGATCTTGGCTTAGACACTTGGACCAGCTCAGAAGCAACCAAGACAGTATAGAGGTCATCCAGGGAAGGCTAAGAATGTCCACCTCTCGGCCCCTAACAACACTGTTAATCTAGATCAGTTGAGCTTCTCATGGCCAGAACCAGGTTCCAGTCAAAAAGAATTAACCTAGAAGGTAACACCCACGCACAGGAAATCAATGTGAGTCAATGCCCTGTATAGCTATCCTTATCTCAACCAGCAAAAACCCTTGTTCCTTCCTATTATTGCTTATACTCTCTCTACAACAAAATTAGAAATAAGGGCAAAATAGTTTCTGCTGGGTATTGAGGGGGGGGAGAGGGAGGGGGCGGAGTGGGTGGTAAGGGAGGGGGTGGGGGCAGGGGGGAGAAATGACCCAAGCCTTGTATGCACATATGAATAATAAAAGAAAAAGGAAAAAAAAAAAAAGAAGCTCGCTTCAATTCACACTGGTCTGGAAGTCATGGGGCTGGGGAGCAGAGCAGAAACAGAGGGTGTCAGACTTTGGGATATGGCTGGCTCTGTTCTTCCCAGAAGGAGGACACAGACCCAGACTTAAAATGCCCACTGTGAGTTGAGGTGGATCTACAAAAGCACACAGCAGGGCTACTCAGAGTCCCAGGCCCACTGTACCTCAGCTGAGTGTAACAGAGGCTCCAGAGGCTATGTCTCCTGAAAATACTTGACAGTGCTAAACTTTCCCTCTGGAAGAACCCCTTCCTTGACAAATGAGCCATTCTGAGTTTGGAATAAAGCAGTTTTCAAGGGGCTTATTAATGAGAGCTTTTTTTATTCTTCTGCATAGCACTACCAACAAGATGGCTTTCCAGAGACAGAACTTCGAAAGTTTATCTCAGAGTGTAAAGATCTACCCAATTCTGGAAAATACAGATTAGAAGGTGACCCTGCAGAGTCTTTATTCTGTTGTTGTAAAAAGTAGCTATCAGGTTTATCTGTGCTTTACAGGAACATATAAAGTGGCTGAGGTGGGAGATGGTGTGGATATTTTGAGATCAGGCACAGATTTTAAATACTATTATTTTGAGCTAACAGATAGCTATAATTAATCAAGAACTCTGTATTTTAAAAACAATATCTAATGTCGTCACTGCTCATATTGGGTTTGTTTTTTTAAAAGTAACCAATGTTGATGAGGAAGTTACTGGATTATTATTCTTGTTTATTTTATCATAGTGTTTGTTCTCTATGCCCTTCTTTACTTGACTGTGGATTGTGCCCTCAGTGGAAAACCATCCCTGGCCTCACGGAGACTTTGGAAAACTCAGTGTCTACCCCAGAGAAAGCAGCCACAGTTACTGTGTCTAGTAATTAGCACATTTTCCAGCCTTCTCTTGAAGGACAGAATGAGAAAGAAGCAATCATCACCAGCTAATAGTGTAATACCTGGCTCTAAAAGCACAATTCTTATTTGATCTGCTTTTAGTTTTAGAGAGGATCAAGTAATTTAATGTTCCTTTATAAGTTTTCTTTCCTTTCAGTGCTACATTACAAAGTTGAAAGATTATCTGCACTTAAATGAAAAGTATATACCAAATATATATTTGAAGAAATAATGATTATTTTATTACCACCTGAGGCCTTATGAAAACCTGGGATACACTGGGCATTTCCTAGGCATGTTCAGTCCTACAGCAAAGTGATTTAGGATCAGAATCTGAGGTTTTAGGGAACATGGCTCTGTAACTCAAGCAAAAAAATATTTTGGAAAATAATTATGCTCAAAATTTAAAAATAAGTGAGAAATGTGTATTTTACAAAGACATGAAAATATTCTCTACCTCTTATAGATCACTAATGGGTAATTGCAGGGATTTCTGTAATGTTTGTTTTGTGTACTGTTTATTCAAATAGAAATGAATTGAATGATGTGTAATAAAGGTTTTATCCAAGCAAGCTTTTTTTTTTTAAAGGAACTGATGTTTTTAAACTTTCGACTTTATTTTAAAAGTTTAATGAGACACTGAAATCTTACTACTTAATCATAGTAAAGACTACAGATGTTGAAATGTGAGGTTTTACAAAACAATTTTTGTAGTACCCATGGCTCTTTAAAAAATGCAAAAACCTAAATCTCTAGATGAGTATGCTTTGGGGCTTAGTTCTAATAATTGTATCCCAATCATGTTTAGAGTGAATTAAAATGCAATGCGAACTTAAACATCGTGTTGATTAGTGAGAAGTCCTTCTTGTTTCCCTTCATGAGATTTTTAGACTGATGATAATACTTCAATGGAAATGTGGAACCACTGAGCCAGCGTTGGCCCTGGAGCTTTGCTGTGCTCTCCAGTCATGGTGTTTCTTCTGTGGAATTACGGCCAGTGGCTTGGCATCTTCTAGTCTCCTTCTCCTGCTTCTCTGAGTTTTCTTATTGTGCAGGAATCCTTGAAAAATTTGAATGCCTAATTTTTAGTAATGTTGCCCCTGAGAAAATAGCTATACTATTTCCAGAAACAGCACTGACATTTTTTGAACTGCTCTCAAACCAGAATAATGTCTTGATTTGAGTGTGCAGACTGCTACGAAACCGAATTCAACAACACATCAAAAAGATCATTCACCACGACCAAGTAGGCTTCATCCCAGGGATGCAGGGGTGGGTCAACATACGAAAATCAATAAACGTAATAAACCACATTAACAGAAGCAAAGACAAAAACCACTTGATCATCTCAATAGATGCAGAAAAAGCCTTTGATAAGATCAACATCACTTCATGATAAAAGCTCTAAGAAAACTAGGAATAGAAGGAAAGTTCCTCAACATTATAAAAGCTATATATGACAAACCTACAGCCAGCATTATACTTAACGGAGAAAAACTGAAACCATTCCCTCTAAAATCAGGAACCAGACAAGGATGCCTGCTATCTCCACTCCTATTCAACATAGTACTGGAATTCCTAGCCAGAGCAATTAGGCAAGAAGAAGGAATAAAAGGAATACAAATAGGTAAAGAAACTGGCAAAATATCCCTATTTGCAGACGACATGATCCCATACCTTAAAGACCCAAAAAACTCTACTCTGACATAGATTTTAGAGTACATATATATGGACCATTGAGAATGTCAGGACGTTTGTAAGAACGAAATGGAAGTCACTTCTTCTCCAAGGGTTCTAGCCTCCCTAGCCCAGGAGATCGGGACTGGCCTTTGTTGGTGATACTCCTTGTCTGGAAGTCAGGGGCTTTGTTCCTTCTTCCACCATGGATGACTCTCAAGCTTGTAGGCATAAGAATCATAAGAATCATGGGAAGATCATAGGATCATGTTAAATCCATGGTTGTCCAGGTACTTCCAGCAGAGATTTTTTTCAGTACTAAGGATGGAACTCGGCCTTGCCACCACTTGAGCCACACCCCAGTCCTTCTGCTTGCAGTGTATTTCTCAGTTAGCATCTTGTGCTTTTGCCTAGACCAGGATCTTCCTGCCTCCACTTCCCAAGTAGCTGAGATTACAGGCATATGCCACCACGCCCAGCTTCTTTTTGAGACAAGTCTCACTAACTTTTGCCCAGACTGGCCCTAAAGCAGAATCCCTCTGTTTCTGTCTCCCGGTAGCTGGGATTATAGGTATACACTACTAGGCACAATCCCAGCAGACATTCTCATGTGTCAAGTCCTAATTGGAGGCCAGGGATTTGCACTTGTAACAGCCACACCAGGTGATTTAAATCAAGTGGTAGGTAGCTGCCTGGCCCAGATCTGGACCAGGAACTAGAAAAATCCCTGTGATGGAGCTATAAATACAAAACTGCCCATAAAGGTTGGGATTCAGACTGGCCTTCTGCCAGTCAACAGGGAAAGCATATTAGTCAGGGTTTGTGTCTTCTGCTAAGATGGCTTTAGGTAGACTTGATTTTGCTCATGCCATGTTTTCTTGGGACAACTCAATGCCATTTTCTTCTTTTACTTTAATAAAGCTTTAAAATATTTAATATATATTATGTTTTAATCATTTTGTCCTAGAATACCACTTTTTAAATTAAATTAATACATATAAAGAGGTATATGAGTTACATGAAAAAAGATAAAATTCTCATTATTTGTAGATATGATGGTCTACATAGCAAGTCTTTTAGAGTCAACAAATTCCAAAAACTTATTAAAGAATAGGCAAGGTTGTTGGATGTAAAGGTCAATTTAAAAAACACTCTAAGCTTGCACTGGGGGTATGACTCAAGTGGTAGAGCACCTGCCTAGCAGGCACAAGGCCCTGAGTTCAAACCCCAGTACCATCAAAACAAGCTTCCTGTCCTATATCAATGATCATCTAGCAAATATAGCAGAAATGAAATAACACTCCCAGTAAAAACAAAAATTATAAATTTTCTAGCAATTTATCCTAAGGTAGAAAGCACAAGTCCTTCCTAGAGAAAAATGTCAAATCTCTGTTACAAGAGGGTGCCAATGACTCACTCTTATAATCCTAGCTACTCAGGAGGCAGAGATCAGGAGGAACTTGAGATCCTATCTGGAAAATACCCAACATAAAAAAGGGCTGGCAGAGTGGCTCAAGCGGCAGAGCGCTTGCCTAGTAATTGTGAGGCCCTGAGTTCAAATCCTAGTACCGCCAAGACAACAACAAAAACCCTCTATTACAGGGCATTATGATTTGAATAACTGTAGAGATAATGTGTCTATGGATGGTGACAACCTAAAGCAATATTCAGTTATCTTCAAATTAACCTGTAAATTCAGTCTAACAGCAATACAAATCCAAATGTTTTGTTTGAAAATAAAAAAAGTAATTCAAAAATTCATATGAGATAAAGGTCCATGAACAGCCTACTTTGAAAAGGAAAGAAAAAGAAGAGATTCACCCTACCCAATATTAAGCCATACAAGTTTATAGCAAAAGAAAAGAAATTTAAACAGAATTACTATGGTAATAATGTGGTATTAATGAGGAACAAAGAGAACAATGAATGGAAAATGGAGACCTAAAACATACAGCATGTACATTTGGAGATGTGTTATAAGATAAAGCTGCGACAGGCATTGTGGTGCACACCTATAATCCCAGCACCTGGGAGGCTGAGGCAGGAGGATCCTGAGCTCAAGGCCAGGCTGGGCTACATAGCAAGACTTGTCTCAAACAAATTGGAAAAAATAAAAGAAGTGTGTGTGTGTGTGTGTGTGTGTGTGTGTGTATGTGAGAGAGAGAGAGAGAAGCACAGGAGGAGAAAGAACAGATTTTTAAAATCTAAGGTGGTAAACTAGGATAACTGGGCCAAATCTAACCTGCAACCTGCTTTTGTACAGTTCTTGAGTTAATTAATAGTTTTCATATTTTTAAAATGATAAAAATTAAAACCTAAATAACACACGAATTAAAGAAGAACTCTTAAGAGAAATTAAAAATTCTTTTGAACTATATGAAACTTACAATACAAATTATCAAAACTTGTGAGGTGCGGTAAAAGTAGTGTCTATAGGGAAACTGAGCATTGAATGTATATCTTAGAAAAGAAGGCTCTAAAATTAATAATCCAAACTTCTGCCTTAGGAAACTACAAAGAAAAGAACAAATTCAGTCTACAGCAGGAAAATAAATAAATAAAAGCAATCCCCCCCCAAAACAAAAAACAGTAAAATCAAAAGTAGGAAATCGAGAGAAATGTGGAAGCAGTCTTGGACATGAGCGATGGGTAGAGGCTGGAACGGTTTACAAGTGAATGCTGGAGAAGGCCTGCATTGATCTGAAGAGAGCAGTAAGGATACTTCTGAGGAGGGGAGAGAAGGGGGAAGGGGAGAAGACTGAGGAAAGTGTGGAACTTCTGGGAGACTGTTTAAGAGGTTGTGACCATGATGCTGATAAAAACGTGGACAGCAAAGGCCATGCTGATGTGATGTCATCCGGAAATGAGGCCTGTCTTAGGGCAGCTGGAGTAGAGGCCATGCTTGTTACAGTCGCAGAGAAGATGGTTACATTGTATTCATGCCCTGGGACTTCCTGGAAGGCAGGACTTCTGCATGGTGAACTAGAGTATCTGTTGGAAGAAATAGCTAAGCAAGAGAGGACTTAAGAAGCTACGTGGTTACTTTTAATCGCTTATGGAAATACAGTAACAAAAGCACGACTAAAGGTAGAATTCGAGATTAATAGGGAAACAGCATTCAAATTTGGAAAATCAGCTG